CAGCCCGCAATGACGTGGTGGTGCACGGCCGCGGGATGCTGGTGGTCCAGGACGGCCCCGGATGTCACGTCGCGGCTGTCCCGCGGGATGACTCAGGACGGCTTACAGGTGTCGGCCCGTGGGCTCTCCCTCGGCCACGCCCCGGTGCACCGGGCCCCCTGCCGATCAGCCCCGCCCCGGCCCGCTCGAGTGACTGGGGCGGGGCGGGGCGGGGTCGGCAGGCCGCTGGGGCACAAGTCGCTGCTGCTGCGGCGGCTGCAGAGCCCGGCCCCGGCAGTGGGCGCTTGGCCGCACCAGAGGAAGGTCGGCTTCGGCTCGGACCATCGCAGCAAAGCGAGCAAAGCGCCTCGGCAGCTTCCCCGCGGACCTGGTCGTGGACGGCGATCTCCTTATCAGAGGCGCGCGGGCCGGCCCGGGCCGTGCAGATAGCTCGCGTTTGTGTATGTGTTTGTGTATGTGTGTGTGTACGTGTGCCGACAAAGACGTGGCCTTGCCTTCGTAACGAGTGCAATTACAAGTGATGAAGTGTGCCGACCAGTGTTGTGATCGTTGCATCTGCAACGGCGGCGACCTCCGACCGGCTGATCTGTGAACTTACGACCCCTCCCGCATACTATCGCGCCGCCAGAGCCATGGAGACCACGGCGCCGCACCGGCAGAAGCAGTACCGGCGCAGCGTCACCGTGCCGGACGACCACCTTCGCGCGCGCTTCTTGGTGAGTGCCGCGGTGAGTGCTGAGGCGAGTGCCGCGGTGAGCGCCGCGGTGAGTGCCATCCAGAGTCGCGTCCTGATAGTGATCGCTCCTCTAACCCCTGGCTCTCTCTAACCCTAAAAGCGTAGGAGACGCGTTGTGAGATAGTGCGACGCGCCGATTTGTGTTCGTTTGTTGTGGTCTATGAAGGAGTTCATCGTAGAGAAGAGAAGCAGGGTAAACAACCAGGAACAGTATGGCATAAACGCCCTTTTGGGGACGCGAACTACAATTTACGATCAACCAGTCAAAGCCCGCGGAAAACTATTTTTTGTTGTGGCCAATATTCCGTATTTTCTGCTTTACGCCGACCTCCTTCCTCCACCGGGCGGGGTCAGCAGCGGCCCCGGCCGGGCCCGGGCCGCCGCCGTCCTGGAGCGATAACCAACACACTGTTTCAATTTGCCGGGCCGGCGCCGGTCCGGGCGCGCGCGTGGGCCGCGCCGGCTCTCGCTGTGCAACGCGCGGCAACGCGTGCTACATGTGGTCCCCGCGCTGCAGCCAGCGCTGCCGGCCGCGCCCCGGCGGCCCCCCGGCCAGCCGGCTACAGGTCGCCCACTCGGACAAAAGGACCTCCTCCTTCCTCGCCCTCCCTCGTCCCCGCCTGCCGCCTCCCCGACCCCGCGTCCCGTCATGACACCTACATAATTGCACCACGGGCTGTGATAAAGCCGTTCCTTTGTTTACTCGCGGGGTCGTCGGCCGGCCCGCGCTGAGCAGAATCTCAATAGGTGTTCACGCGTGGCGCGCCGTGGCGGTGGAGGCAGTCCGCGTGTGGTCCCGCCCCGCGCCGCCCCGCCACCGGCAGCCCGGCGGAAGAGGCGGGCGGCAACGATTGGGGGGTTATAGGAGGTTATCTTTATGTCACCGCCAAAGTACCAGGAAAAAACGGGTCACGATGACGTCGATGGCGTCATATTTATGAGGTCTGGGTCACGTCCTCTAAATTTCTTTCGACAAGTCGAGCAAATCGTAAAGAATTTCCTGTTACTTGTTTGAACGGGCCGAGCCATCTAGAAGCGTTGTGAAAACGGCGTTTGGAGGCCGTGCTCTGCTGCCGTGCTGCTCCGTCCAGACACCCGGACAGGATACGTCAGTCAAGCCATTGGCCCCCTTTTTTATTTTTTTTTATGCGTCAAGTAACGTCAGTAAGCCTGCCAAAGAAAGAAAAAGGTCACCCCTCACATCATTCTGATAAACACACGCTCCACCTTGGAGACGCCGTGCTCCATTGCGAGCTGCGCCGCCGCGCCGAGTGCTGGCCTGTGCTGGCCTGCTGCATGTGTGGGCGGCGCGGCGCGGCGCCGGGTGGTGGGGGGAGAGCACCTGGTACCTCCCGGTCTTGCGGCGGCCTGTTCTGGCCAGGCCCGACGCCGCTCCGCGCCGCGCCACGCGATGTCTGCACGCAGATAAGCCTTTTGCAAATTCAAAAGTGGCTTGCCGTCGCGCGGGTTTCGTCTCTGCTGGGCGGCATCGGGCGGGCGACGTGACCAATACGTGACCAACGTAGCTCGCCGGGTGCACCGGGATCACTCTGTGTGCTCTGGGGCACACAGCAAGGCGTGAAGCGCACGGGAAACGAGAGCACGGCATCATCTTCGCGAGGCGTCTAAGCTCCACGAGGCCTGCTCGAGGTT